TCGTCGAGGAGGTGAGGCGTCTAGAAGGCGTCTCGAAGAGTGCGGGGCAGGGAGGAGGCCGGAGGAAGGCGGGCTGAAGCAGGAGAGTGCAGGGGGGAGGGTTTGAGGAGGAGAGAGGGTGCTGGGAGGGGAGTGCAGGGAGGAGAGTGCAGGCAGACAATGCTGGGAGGGGAGTGCAGGGAGGAGAGTGCAGGCAGACAATGCTGGGAGGGGAGTGCAGGGAGGGCAGTTCAGGCAGACAGTGCAGGGAGGGGAGTGCAGGGAGGGCAGTGCTCAGAGGGAGAGAGGGGAGGATCGCGCCTTGGCAGACCCTCCCGAGAGAGACGACTTGAGGATCCGCTGGCTCGGGCTCTCCTGAGGTGAGGTCAGGTCAGGGACACTTCTCCACGCACACGAGGTGGTGGGGCGCAAGGGCCGGGCAATCCCTCGCGGCCCCACGTCTAGACGACAGGAGCTGGCACGGCATTCAAAGTGCCAAGGCCCGGTGCGCGTGGGTGAGCGGTGTGTGTGTGTGCGTGCGTGTGTGGGCTCTCCTCTCCGCCAGCCATGCCGCCGAAGGCGGTGATGCGGCGGGGCCCCTTCTCCTTGGGCTTGGGTGCGCGCGGCTTGTCGACGAGGCCGAGGAAGAGCTCCGCCACGGATCGCTCCCCAAGCATCGTCTCCTCCGCCGCCTCAACCGTCGCCTACGAGGCGCGGCCAAGCTCCAGTGAGCAGGCGCTGCTCCCCAGCCCCTCGCGGCAGCCGGCTCGCCAGGCGTTCGCCTGCAGCGCCACCGGCTTCGCGAGCACCTGGGGAGGGAGGGTTCGGGTACCGTGGGGTAGGGAGGGAGGGTTCGGGTACCGTGGGGTAGGGTAGTGAGGGTTCGGGTACCGTGGGGTAGGGGAGGGTGGGTTCGGGTACCGTGGGGTAGGGGAGGGAGGGTTCGGGTACCGTGGGGGGTAGGGGAGGGAGGGTTCGGGTACCGTGGGGTAGGGGAGGGAGGGTTCGGGTACCGTGGGGGTAGGGGGAGGGAGGGTTCGGGTACCGTGGGGTAGGTAGGGTGGGTTCGGGTACCGTGGGGTAGGGTAGGGAGGGTTCGGGTACCGTGGGGTAGGGGAGGGTGGGTTCGGGTACCTTGCCCGTGGCAAGGGGCAGCGACGCCTCGGGCGGGACAGACTCGAAGTAGACCGAGTCGTTGTCCTTCTGCAGCGTGCTCAGCTTGTCGCTCGCAGTCACCTGCAGGTCGCGCATTTGCTGCTCCTCCACCTCGGGCAAGTTTTTGGCCGCGCCGACGGCGGCGGACGCTGCGCTGGCGGCGCGCGCGGTGAGCGCTACCAGCTCCCCAAACCCCGGGTTCTGCGCCGGCGTGGCGAGCATCCAGAAGCAGAGCGCCCGCTGCATCTCGCGCCGCGCTTGGCACTCGGCCAGCGCCCACCTGTTCACAGCGGGAGGTGTGAAGAGACGCTGTTCACAGCTGTCGCGCTTGGCACGCGGCCAGCGCCCACCCCTTCACCGCCTTGTCGACGCCGTGCGACGAGAGAGCGGTCGCCGCGGCGGCAAACGCGTCGACCGCCCCCATGCCGAGGATCGCCCGCGTGCCCGCCGCCTTGCCCGACAGCTCCGCCATCCGACACAGACACTCCTGAGCGAACGCGACCATCAGCGCGGAGAGCGGCTTCGCGGTCGTCTCCTCCAGCTCGGGCGGGGGCCTATTCACAGCTAGAGGTGTGAAGAGACGCTGTGCACAGCGACACGCCGTCTCCTCCAGCTCGGGCGGGGGCTTCGGCTTGCTCCAGCCGCCCATCGAGCCCGGGTTCTGCCTATTCACAGCTAGAGGTGTGAAGAGACGCTGTTCACAGCCGCCCATCGACCCCGGGTTCTGCCTCAAGTCCCGCCCGGCTATCTTCACCACGAGGCCGAGCGTGGCGAGCTCGTCGAGCGCCCCGGCCGCGACCTGGAAGTGGCGCGTCGCCTTCTTCACCTCCTCCTCCGAGTCGCGCGGCAGGAGTGCGCCACTCGAGGCGTTTGCCATCGCCAGGTTCCACAGCGCGGCGCCTGAAGGCGTGGGGGCCGCACTCAGACGCCTGCTCTCGCACTGATATAGAGGGTCTACGCTCGCGCCCCGCTCGAGGTGCAGCAGCGACATCTTGGCCTCCGCATCCTTCTCCAGCGCCGACCGCCAACCGAAGGGCAGCTTGGGAAGGAACTTCTCGTCGATGTCGCCCAACGCATCACCGAGAGGACGCTCGAGAGCGGTGAGGATCGCGAGGTAGGTGGCGTAGGTGACCGCAGCGGCCTGCGCCTCCTTGGCGGTGGAGTTCTTGGCGCTGACGGCACGATCGCGCGCCTGGCAAAACGCGCCGATGTCATCGAAGACACTGCCGCCGGCCTCGCAAACCTCCTCGCCGTAGGCGAGCCGAACGGTGGTGAGGAGCCCCTCCGCGAGCGGCGCGTCGACGCGCTTCTCGTTGGGATGCGTCTTTGTCTTCTCTGTGATTGCCGAGAGCAGGAGGAAGCGCATGCCGACGGCGGTATGCCGCCGCTGTCGGCAAAATTTTGAAGAATTCTTCAGGCCGCACGTTTCTGTGACCACAGACAAACAAAACCTCCTTTCTACATCTCTGCATATGCTCCACAACCCCGTCGCGCAGCGCGCCGCTTTCGCCGCCATGCTGTGGAGGAGCATGCTGCCCGGCGCCGAGGCGGGCGAGGCGGCGGACGAGGGGCGAGCAGAGGCGGAAAAGGCTGTCGCGCCGCCGCCGCTGGAGTGTGGAGAGCTTGGGGATGCGCCGTTTCGTGCCGGCCCTCTTCAGCGAGGGCGCGCGCGCTTGCGGGAGCTCGATCCGGTGTCAGCGGAAACTTGATCGTTCCTTATGATTGAGCTGCGAAGCTGTGACCTGTTTCACACCGTGTGTGGGTCAGTCTCAAAAATCGGCAGTCTGGCGGCATTTCTGGCAGATCGCAGATCGTTCCCTCTAGAGAGTACTCTCTAAGCCGAACGAAAAGAGAAGCATGAGAAGCGCTAGACGCTAGTCGCAGTGAAACCACTGCGTTCGGCCCTTCTCGTTGGGGATGAAAATTCTTTACTCGAGCATACCCCGGTTCTTCACACACGAGCACAGGTCATGGTGTAGGTACAGGTCACAACCGGATCCCGGCAGCCACGGGCGCACCCTATTCCAGGCCCTTGCCTCCCTCACTCGCCCTTGACCACGCCCGATGGTCCCGCCTCGGCCGGCAGCAGCGCGCGCACAGCCGCATCGAGCTCAGCGAGCGCCGTGTCCTCGGTCTCAGTCGCTTGCAGCACCGCGTCCTCCGCCTGGACGCGCGCGGCGATCGCCGCAGTGTACTTCTCGAAGCATTTGTCCAACTGGCTCAGCGGCGCGTGCTCGGCCTCAGCCTCTCGGCGCGCGGCCTCCTTGCGCTGCGCCAGCTCGGCCGAGTCGATCTCACCTTTTACAAACTGCTCGACTGCGGGCTGCAGAAGCTCGATCACGCGCTTGTCGATGGACTCTGTACACGCTGAGCGCGCCTTTGCGACGCGCGTTTCCACGGCACAAGCCACGGTGCGCCGTCGCTTCGGATCGAATAAATTGAGATCGATGGCATGCCTGCGGCCCTCGAGGTCCCTCTCCTCGCGCGTGCGCACGCGCGTCACAGTGACCGCATCGTCGGGCGCAGTCGCCGGATTGCTGTGCAGCAGGCGCAAAGCCGGAGCCATCACGATGGCCATCGTGCTCGACCATACCTGCCAAACGCTAGTGATGTGCTCGGGCACCGAGGAACCAGAACCCCGCTCGACCACAGCAATACCGCCAATCCACTTGCCTGCATCTGAAACGTTGCCGACAATCCAAGCTTTGGCGCCGTCCGTCGCTATTGCGTGCCACAACATCCGCTTTCCATCAGTGCTCACGTAAGCTGGGCGCCCATTGCAATGTTCGGCACGCTTCTTGAATTTCAGGCCGAAAATCTCGCGCACGTGCGGATGGACATCCGCAGGCAATTCGCCCGCGAAGGCGAGAAACTCGGCCATTCTCCTCGACCCCGCCTCCGACGCACAACAGCTGTGACAGCTGTTGTGTAAATCCCGCGGATCAGCTATCGTCGGGTCTTCGCGTCCGAAAGCGTCCGACGAACGACCGTGTGTGGCACGCCTCCCTCGCCTGCTCGTGGCACGTTCAGTGTGGTGAGAGACCGCCCTTTAAGAATTCTTTTCCGCATGGTTGTTTAAATTCTTTTCAGCATTTGCACTACTTCACATTCGAGTGCGATGCGTGAGCATGAACCAGATGTGTGTGAGGACCGTATCCGATGTGAGAAGCGCTAGTCGAAACTGATAACAAGTATACGGTCGATCCGTCAAGCGATACACTCGTCACGATCACGTTGTACGTTGAACGGCTTGCACGGAGCTCTGTGCCGGCACACAGGAAGAGCCGACGGCAAGAAGAGCTCGATGGGGAGCGAGAATCGCCAAAGGTGCTCACGGAGGTGTCGGAAGTCCGCCTTGATGCGGTCAGTTCCCCCCAGGTTTGACTGCGTAGGTCGCGGAACTCGTTGAGTACTCACCGTAATCGGTCCTTCGCCTTCATCCCTAACCCAAAAAAGCACGATTCTCAAGTTGGGCCCTCAGCCTCTAGGCGAACTAGGGACGTCTTTGGACATCCGTTACCTGCACGCCTTTCGCCCGCCTGGCCGCGGGGGGCGAGTACACACTCGGGGTGGCGTGGACGAGATGCATCTGGGACTATAGCAAGAGCATAGAGCAACATCGCAACCTTCCGCAGCCTCAATCTATAACGGCTCCGATGAGGCGCCTCCAATTACAACAACAATAAATAAATAAATAAAACGGGCACGCCAAACGAGGGGTGGGAGAAGGACAGGGTTACCACACAACAACACACGAAAGGCTACCCAACGCGGCCAAAGGATATCCACCTAGTCTGGCGGTCATTTTAGCCTCACATCCCGGGCCGGGGGAACTGGAGCGCACCATTCGGGCCTCGAGATTCGGGCCCATCTCGATTTTGGCGGCCCAGGCATGCGCGCTACAACAGCTTTTCTTTTTGGATTTAGGTAGGTAGGTAGAAAGGTGAAGAACAGCCAGGCTCGGACTGGACACCAACGCGGTATGGGTGGACGCTGGACAGATGATGACGACACGCACGAGCGACACACAGACACAAACAAGCTCACAAGACACACAGCCAGCTGGCTGCCACACACCCTGAGTTGGCGTACACATAACTCAAGGCCACATCCTCCCTGTCGCCCCCCCCAGCACTCCAAGGTGCCAAGAGAAACAAACAAGGGCACAACAAACAACAGACGACAGGAAGTGACATGTGAGGCTAGAGCAGCATGCTCCACCTCTAGCAATCTCTCCGGCCGGCGAGGCACGGACGAGACCGTATGTGGGGTCTAGTGAGGTGTCTATGGACGCGGGCTAGGTTTAGAGCGGTTGGTCCGAGAGCACTTGGAGCACTTGGAGTGCAGTCGGCAACCGCACACCCAGGGCCGGGGAGCTGAGAAGCGCACCCAGCGGGCCGGATGATTGGCATCGGGTTGCGGGCAAGAGAGCCCTAGCCCAGGGGGTGCGCGTTCGCAGGGAAAGGGCCGTAAAGTAAACACGGGTCTCCGAGGGTTAGTCCGCGCTCCAGGTTTCCCCTAGCAGCGGAGCGCCCCCTCTACTCGGAGCTAATAAACACCAGACACGCACACGACGTACATCCTCACTCGACGTCACCCCTCGAGGCTTCTCGGTCTGGCCTCCCCCCCCTCGGTCTGGAGGGGCCCTCTTATCCCCTCGGTCCTCCCCCCACTCGCTTTCCGCTGGTTGAGAATTCTTTTTTCTGGCGGCATGCTCATGAGCGGCGCCCTCCTCCCAACCCGCCTCGCCGACCTGGCTCGGGGCGACCTGGCCTCGCTGCGCGCCTTCCTCTCCGGGCAGGGGACGCGCGGCACGTCGCTCGCGGCCCAGCTCGACGCGCGGCAAAACACCGTCACGCAGGACACGCTGCTGACCTGGGCCGCTCGGCACGGGCAGGCCGAGGCGGCGCGGCTGCTGCTCGAGGGCGGCGCGAGCGTCGGGGCGGCTGACATCGGCGGCGCCACCGCGCTCCTCCTCGCGAGCGAGGGGGGGCACCTCGACTGCGCCAGGCTGCTCCTCGAAGCGAGCGCGGCGATCAACCAAGCAGACGCGAGAGGCTGCACGCCGCTGTTCGTCGCGAGCCAGCAGGGCCAGGTCGAGTGCGTCAGGCTCCTTCTCGAGGCGGGCGCGGCGATAGTGCCACCCATGGACGACGGCACCACGCCGCTGAGCGTTGCGAGCTTCAACGGCGAGATCGAATGCGTCCGGCTGCTCCTCGAGGCTGGCGCCGCGACCGACCAAGCAGACGCCAGAGGCGCCACGCCGCTGTCCATCGCGTGCCAGGAGGGACAGCTCGAGTGCGTGCGGCTGCTTCTCGAGGCGAGCGCGGCGATCGACCAGGCCGATGAGCAAGGCGCCACGCCGCTGTTCGCTGCGTGCCACCAGGGCCACCTCGAGTGCGCCCAGCTGCTCCTCGAGGTCGGAGCGGCAGTCGACCGAGCAATGAGCGACGGCACCACGCCGCTGAGCGCTGCGAGCTTCAACGGCGAGATCGAATGCGTCCGGCTGCTCCTCGAGGCCGGCGCGGCGATCGACCAAGCCCGCAACAACGGCGCCACGCCGCTGTACATCGCGTGCCAGAAGGGCCACCTCGATATCGTCCGGCTGCTCGTCGAGGCCAACGTGGCGGTCAACCAAGCCAAGCAGGATGGCGTCACACCGCTGTTCATCGCGTGCGAGAAGGGCCAGCTCGAGTGCGCCCGGCTTCTTCTCGAGGCTGGCGCGGCGGTCAACCAAGCCTGCAACGACGGCGCCACGCCGCTGTTCGCGGCATGCGAGGACGGCCACCTCGAGGTCGCCAAGCTCCTCTCCTCCTACGGCGCCTCCCGCGCCGCTACGCCCTTCGGCACGCCCGAGGAGATTGCAACCGAAGAAGGCCACGCCGACCTCGCCGCTTGGCTGGTCGCCAGCCGCGGCTGGACGCCGCTCGCGCACCTTGAGACCCTCACCGCCGCCCGCGCCACCTCCCTCCTGCGCGGCGGCGCGAGCTTGCACGAGGGCGAGCCGACGCCGCTGCGGCGCGCCGCGGGCGGCGAGGGCGAGGCGGCGGCGCTGATCCGGCGGGCGGCGGCGCCGTGGTCGCCGGCAAGCCACTCGCTCTTCCCCGCGCCGGCCCGCGCGCGGGCGGCGCTCCTCGTCCTCTCGCTCTACGAGATCCACGAGCGGTACCACCTCGACTCGGCAGAAGCCGAGAACGGCATCGCGGCGCTCGACTTTGGCCACTGCGTCTTGGGCTTCGCCATCGCGCGCGAGACGGAGTAGGGGCGTTTCGCCACCCCCTCCCTTGGCACGCGCCAGGCGAGGCTAGGCGACGCGAGCCATGTGAGCCAGCGGCTGTGGGAGAGAAGAAAGGGCTCTCGTAGAGCTCTACATGGAGTGCGACGTGTCTTCGCGTCGCTCGAGTCAGTTTGGGATTCGACCTCTATTTGCAAAACTTTTGGGCATCGGGCATGTCGACGGTTCCCCTTCCCGCGTTTTGTGCCTTTTTTGCCGTTCCGCGTTGTTGCTTGTTCGTGCGGCGCGGGTTCCCGTCGCTCGCCGCTGCGGTTGCCGGCACGCTTCTGTGTTTCCTTAACTTTTTCGTGTCGTCTGTGTGTCTTCAAAAAAAGAAAAGGAAAACGGAAAAGAGCAGACCCGGACGCCGGCGGGTCGCCGGAGTTGGACAACGCACGGCGAACCCGAGGCAGGAGGCACATCTTGGAGCACTTGGAGTGCAGTCGGTAACCTCACATCCAGGGCCGGGGAGCTAAGTCCTAAGAAGCGCACCCAGCGGGCCGGATGATCGGTGTCGGGTTGCGGGCAAGAGAGCCCTAGCCCCGGGGGTGCGCGTTCGCAGGGAAAGGGCCTTAAAGTAAACACGGGTCTCCGAGGGTTAGCTCCGCGCTCCAGGTTTCCCCTAGCAGCAGAACGCCCCCTCTACTCGGAGCTAGTAAACACTCGACACGGACTCGACGCCCGCCCACACCCCTCACCCGGCGCCTCACCACTCCGGACCCCTCTTCGTGGTCTCCCAACTTTCACCTCGGGACTCTTCCCCCACCTCTCGGTCCTTCCTTCTGGTCGCATCCCGATAGTTGTGACCTTGTGTGACGGGCGCGGGGCCCGACCTCCCCTCCTAGCCTCCTTTTTCAGCCGCGGCTCCGCCCCCGTCTCGTCTCCTCTGTCCGATTCTGTCGCCATCATCGACGGTGATCTGGGAAGCGGGGCCAGCTCACTCCGGTCACATCGCCCCCGAGGGTTTTTCTCGGAGTGCCTCAGATCAGCGGCGCGCGCTTGTCCCCGGGGGTTGTTCCATGGCAAGCAAGGCCGTCAGCACGCCCCTGCCGGCCTGGCTCAAGGGTCGGCTTCAGCCGGAGCCGGCCGCGTCGCGCTTCATCTACAACACCTTCTTCAAGTACAGTCCCACCTACATGACGACAGTCATGCTCACCGCCACGTTCGCCGGCCTCGCGTTCGACAACGTCATGAATGGCCTGTGGGACATGAACAACCGGGGGGTGCGCGCGCGTCCCGCCGCCCCGCCCACCCGAGATATGGCCGCCGCCCGCCGGCCCCTCCGCGCTGGCCGTGACCAGCCTCCCGCGCGCGATCCGGGGCGCTGCTCTCACCCCCCTCCCCCCCCCCTCCCCGCGGTGCAGAAGCAGTGGAAGGACATCAAGAACAACTATGCGGAAGAGGATTAGTCGCCAACAACCGCTTTGAACCCTCCGGGTATAGCTCCTTCGGCAGGGCACGCGCGCCCACGTCACGGGTGCTTGCTGCGCGGCGTCTTGGTTGTTGGTTCCTCGTTAGCTTGCTGCTCGTCGCTGTGCGCGGCGCGCGCGCCCCGGCAAGCGGGAGGCGTGGCGGGGCACTCGCAAACGCCCGCTTTTGTTTTGTTTTTTGAGCCGCTTTTGTTTTTAAGCGTATGATTGCTTCAGAGCACAGAGGACAAAGGTCGTCAGCAGACCGCCACGCAGGCGCGGTGCTACCGCGAGTGATTTCTTTAGCGTGTGTTAATGCCAGTGCGCGCCAGTCCGTGCCTACTGTCGTGGGAAGGTTTTGTAAATTCTTTAGCCGGCCCGGCGCTCGCAGCAGCGCGCCTCTCTCGACGTGGCGCGGCGCGGCTCGCTAAAGCGGCGCTGAAGTCGGGGCGAACCTGCGCGATGTCGGGCACGCTGCTCGAGCAGGCGCGGAACCTGCACGAGGACCTCGAGATCCTCGAGAAGGCCATGTACCGGGAGCTGGGCGACCCGGCGACGGCGCACCTCAAGCGGGTCGATGAGGTCGCCCGCGACCAGGTGGTGGCGACGCTGCTGGACGCGCACACGCAGCGCGCCAAGAGGCTGGCTGCCGTCTACGAGGACGGCGACGGTGCACGGAGGGAGGAGATCCAGGCGATGTCGGGTGCGCCGACGCCACTCGCCGCCGCTCGCCGCCGCTCGCGCTGCGACGACCGTCCGGATCGCGTGAGCCGTTGTGGCCGGACGCCCCCCCGCAGGGTCGACCGTCTTCAGCGCCTTCTACGACCAGCTCAAGCTGCTGCGCGACTACCACCGCAAGCACAACATCGCGCCGCCGAGCGAGGTGTACGAGCGCGAGCTGCTCGTCGACGTGCTCGAGGGCGCCAACGAGCAGACCTTCACGGGGGAGGAGGCGGAGGGGAGGTACCTCGACATGCACGCGCTGCACGAGGCGTATATCAACCTCAAGGGCGTCGACAAAGAGACAGACTACGCCTCTTACCTCAAGGCCGCCGCGCAGCTCGCCAACGTGCCCAAGGGGAGGGCACCCCACCCCCCCGCCACCACCCCTTTCCGCCCCTTTCCTCCCCTTCCGCCCCCTTCATTACGATCCTTTACATCCGACCCCTCACATCACGGGAAGCCGAAACCGCGCCTAGCACCTTTAAAGAAGCCCCGGGGGTTGCCCCCTGTGCCGGCTCCCTATGGGCCGCCCCTTCCTGTGTCCTGGCCTTTTCGGTGTTATCCCGGTATTTCAATCCCCGCTTGATATTGTCCCGCCGATTTGGTCCCTATTCCCCCCGCGCGG